TGTATCCAAACTTGCCTCTATATATCATTGTTTTAAAATCCATTAAAATGTACATAATCTTCTTGAGATTGCTTGCAGCTAATTCCGATATTACCTTGGTCACCATTAGAACTGATTTTTATTTTTCTTGTATATTTTCTCAATATTATAAATTTTAAAACGAAAACCGCTCCTAATATGTCAACGACTTCAGGGGTAGAAACGAATTTCGAGTAAAATTTTCTTGCATCGATTTGAAACTTGTTTGAATTTTGTACCCCATAGCAAATCCTGAATTTGTGATATTATTGATAGATGCTACGATGTCGATAAGTTTTTCATCCACATGAATAGAGTATAATCTATAAATAATCTTTTTTATATTCATAAAAACACGTCATAATCCCGTAAATTTTTTGATAACTATTCGCACTAAAAGTATTCTTTAAATTATATTCAAGAATTATTTTGTCATCATCTGTTTCTTTGAGCTGAGTGTCAAAAGCCAAAACCAGGCGTCATTCTAGATGCATTAAAATTAATTACAAATCTGTTCCTCTATCACGGTATGATAAATGTCCAACGTAATTATTTTCTGTATAAATTTTCGCTTGTGCATGCGATTGTCCAACTTGTATAAACAAGTATTCTTTTTCAGCAGTATTTATTTTCAGTAAGGGATCTTTAGTGAACAAAGCACTTAAATTTAAAAGCATATTTAAGGAATTTGTTTCGTTCAATTGTATAGAAGTATTTATCAGACCTTGAGCATTGATGCTTTGAGATATATATTCGGATATACTTCAAATGATGTCTAATTCTTAGTTCAAGAACTTTTGCTCTGTCAGGTGTAAAATATAATGAAACATCGTTTTCATTGTTAAGAATATTTGTTGTAAGGAATACATGATGAGTTGTGTTTGCAAATTGCTGCCCTTTAATTATAATAAACGTATCTTTTACACAATCTTCACATAGTTCAACCTCAGTTTTTCACTTTAATGAGAATAAACTGTCATCAATCAAATCTTTATTTACATCTACCATACCTATCAGAGCTTTAGCAAATTTCTCCGACAAATCATAGCTATATTGTGTGGAGATATCTATGCTTTTAGCATATAACATAGGCGATGTTGCATTGAAGTTACTTTTAATATACCACTATGTGATAAATCCAGCGAAGAATCAATTTGGTGCTTATCTTTATGAAGTTTAGATGGCAATAGAAACAATGTCACTATTTTTTATTTCGGATCTTAAATCATACATAAATCCAGAATGTATGGTTTCATAATTATCTAAGAAACTATCAAATTAATATCGACCTTGCAGAAGTTTGCTCCTTCTAAGTGAACATCTGTAGATAAGCTATAGTATTACCGTCTACTTCGCACTCAATTCCAGCCGATGAGACGTGATTTTTTTGCACCAAAAATATTTTACCTCTAACATTATTCCAATTAGTAGATGGACTACTGATTGTAAAATTGTATAAAACATCTTTAACATCTTTATGTGCGCTTGTTTCGATGCTATATATACTTCATTTTCACTAATAAAATATTCATATATTCAACATCATCATCATTTAATCCTGTGCCTAATTTTAAAATTACATTTTCACGATAATTTGAAAGCTTCGAATCCATTTCTAATAATGCTTCTTTATTGAAATTTGTAGTATTGTATATTCCATTCAAAACTAAGAAATCTTCTTTCAAACCTAAATCTATTCCAAAAGTATTTATCGCAGTTGTTATGTCGTACTGCACATCTAGATGTCCTTTCGGCAGCAAACTGGCACTTGTTTGAAAAGTGGTATTGAACTTAAATTTTTCTTTTAAAAATTCTAAATTCGTAGTAAACGCAGCTTTTCATTGTTGTAATTCCAGAAAGATTCTAGTTTCAAATTTTGATGTCCCAGAGTCTCCAATTTCATATTCAAGTTTGGTAAATTAAATAGAGAATCATGAAGTAATATATCGGCAGAGTAAAGTTCATTTAAATACATAAATGATGATGATAAATCTACAAGTTTTGAATCTTTTGTCAATTTGAAAGCAGCATGACCTTTTTCTTCATCATAGTAAACATCAAATATTGACTCTAAATGTTTGAAACCGTTCACAGGTGTATCTATGCCTGTTGCAATTAACATTGCATTTTGTTTCAATTCATATTTAGCGTGCATTTGATATCTTTGAGTTGAATTTAATATTGCTGATAATTGGATTTCCGATGCATTTTTGTAAAGAACATTATTCTGGTCAACTCATTGTCGGACAAATTTATGATTATGTTACCCATGATCATCGAACTATTTAAAGCAGCATCCGCATACAACTTTAAAACGTCTTTGTGTCCATTTCACAATTAATTCTGATGTTTTAATATTCTGCTTTAAGTTATAATTGAACTCGATTTCGATAGGGTCAAAATTAGAAGATTCGGCAGATAATAAAAATATAAAGGTTTCATTAGAATTGACAAATTTTCCGCTGACATCGATACTTTCGTTATATTTTTATCTACAATTGAAATTTTTGGTTCATTGACAATATCATCAGTAAAAAAAGTAAAGAAGTTGAATGGATTCATCAGTGGAATCCATAATTTTAGAAGGTCTATCCCATTTTTAAATTAAATTTTTCAACTGGTAATGTTCAAGCGCATATGAAAATTCTAAGTTGTCATTCCATTCATTATATTTCCAAGCTGATATATGATTGAATGTTTCAAGTTTAAAGTCGGTAGATGAAACTATATCCAAATTATTTGATCCAATTTTTCCAGATGCTATTGCCTTCGAACTACCTGCAATTTTATCGTAGTCAAAGTAAATTTCTACATCACATTCATTGTTTGTACTAGAATCAATTATAATACGAAGAATTTTATCATTATTCTCGAACTCCATTTGAGTTTGTGTTCTACGATAGAACCAGTCACTTCAAAAATATATTGATCATTCGTTGTGTTGAAATCGATATCCATTTCTTCGCGCATATGAAGAGTTGCTAGTAAAGTATCATTATTCCAAGCATACTTAACGAACCACTTCTTATGATCCTCATTAAAGTCTTTTTCCAACCTGGTTTTCAATATATGATTAGGTATTTCAAGATTTAAGCCCATATAACGTGATCTGTCCGAAGAGAACTCAAAATCCAGCGCACATCGTTTTTCGTCATCGTATATTACTTTGAATTTTTCCACCATTTCTCCTAAAACTGATGTTCTAATAATACACTTAGCTTTGGCAAAAAAGTAGAACTAATGTCCACGGTGCCATCTATAGTATGGACATTAGGATGATTTATAAATGATCGTAAATAAAAATTTTCCTGCAATATTTGTATCTCAGTTGTAAAATAACTTCTGTAATGTTGAAAGTCGTAGTAGTAATTGAAAGCGTTTTGCTCGATGTATTTAAAAGGTGTAGTCATCAAGAAATCAGCTCGATGAGGTTCTTGTTCATATTTTATATAAACTTCTTCTTGAAACCATGACATTCGTCCTGATTTCTGTTAAAGGTTTCGAAATTGAATATTTGTAAATTATATTTGATATTGTTTCTTTGATCCGCTAATACTATACTCAGCATTACAATAATTTTGAGCTCGTTCAAATTTTCCTGTTATCTGATATGAATCTTTGTTATAGAAAAGCTTGCAATTTGTTAGGACAAGTACGGAATCCGATTCACGATTTAATTTATTTGCAAAATCCAATTTATATTCGGTACCGGATAAAAGGAACTCATCACATTAACGACAGTATTCAAATTGACGCTGGGAGTGATTACCAGTCGCGTTCAGTAATATAAAATTGTTCATCCATTCGAAATGCATCTAAAATACAACAACTTATTTAAAATACTGCTAACAATAGTTGATGTTTATAAAAAATAACTTCCATACATTCAGGTCCATTACTCGTTTTCCGGCTCCCTTATATGACAGGTTTATCAAATGTTTTTAAATATCGGAATTGTTGATTCCAGATGTAAACTAATTAAGAGTTGTCTTGTTTCTCTTCATGAGATGTTACAAACGAAATCCATTGATTCTCATTCCAATAACCCATTATTTTTACTTTATTATCTCTAAAATAAACAATTTTAATTTAGACATAAATGCATCAGCTTTGTTTTCATATGACTGTTATACTCACTCAATTGTACTAATTCCGTCTATTTTTTGTCCGGGAAGTTCTAAACGAAAGCTCTGTTGCGGTGTCTAAATCAAGCAAAAAAATGCACTTATTTTCGGGGTTGTTGATCTTATCCCAGTGAAAAAGCATACTGAACTGTATGGTAGTGTGGTATTTAAATTAAATAATGAGTAGATCCGCTTCTCTAAATCGAGATCCAATATAATTTTTTATTGGCCCCTTGAGTGCAAAAACCAGAGTATTTTCATAATGCCGGTTTGGTAGGTCCATAATGAGGGATATTTTATGTTCATGAATATTCGTATACAATAGTACAGCAGCATATTTATTTTTTTATAATCTGCGCTGGCGCTACATTCAAAATGTTTATTTGATACTAATAGTTTTCCTTTCAACGTCCAAGGTTCTATTCGCTCGATGTTTCCCCCGCTTTGAGTAATATGCAATGTGATTGAATGTTCTAGTTTTGAGATATCGCTGAGGTCTGTATACGAACCAACAGCCTTGAAATTGATCTCTTCTTCTACGGCAAAACTCCGAATTGCTGAACCGGTAAATAATACACCATATTCGTTTCCTTTATGTGTCAAATGACCGTCCAAAGTCCACTTTCTCTTAGGTATCAAGAATTGCAGAAATACTCCTAAATCATTTGTTAAAGGATCTTTCAATATATTTACCTTGGCATATGCTCGATGCTCATCATTCAAACGGGCAATGCTGTGCGCTATAATTCCTTTAAAATTTGTTAGGTATTTCGCACTAACTAAATAATCGATATCCTTGCTCAAACAATTGAAAGCACATTTCGCTTCAAAGTCGTAGTATCCATCTAATATTTTCAATCGGTACAGTTGATGAGTTTTCCATATCACATCTCCAAGTCCCGCAACCGCGTTGTGCTCAATATATCCACGAGTTTTCTGAAATCCCCATGAAAATTCAATATGAGACTGTGGAAATTCGGTTGATTGTAATGAAAATGATATTCCCAACTTTTTAAGCATACCCGTTAATATATTTTCATATTTCAAATAAAGCGATACGCTGTGCAATTGTTGATTTTTAAAAATGTACGTCATAGAATTATTTACACAGTATATTGATGAAGTATAACTCAAAGAACCTTTCATATCACCCGATAATTCAGAACTTGCAAGGTTACCATTCCACGACCACTTATCCTTATCTCTATTGAGATCTCCTAAAAATGAAACTTTATCTTTCGTAAAACCTGATAAAGTAATAAAAGTGCTGTATCGATTTTTTGAGTATATGCAATAAACCCATCAACTTCTGCAAAAATGCGATCAAAGTATTGTATGTTTATATTCGATGATATTTTATCGTCTTGGGTTGCAATACTTCCTTTAACGCCTAATATTCTTTTGTCATCTTCAGAAATTTCACTTTCAAGCGCCTTGTAAGCCACCGTATTGGTTAATTTTCCCACAAAATTGTACCTTTTGAATGGTGTATGGATTTTAGCGCTCGCATTCATGGCTTTTGGGAAGATTTTGTATCCGATATCTATATTTCTCTTTACATTAGAGTTTGGAGTGTTTATATATAAATTAAACATATGAACTGGTTCACTAGAAATTATTTTTGATTCTTTATGGTATTTGAATTCATAAGAATCAAAGTTGTCAACTTTTTTTAAATCCAATATATAACGAGCAGATCCAGTAAGCGGAAAATATGGTGCAATCAAAGAAGAAGAAGCATTTGGATAAGAAATATCATTACATAATTGCATTCCAGTAATAACAGCTGCCGTTTCAGATCCACAGCTATAAAATGTTTCTCTCTGAGAATGACCTTTAATAGGTTCATTTCCGGATGGACTTATTAAGTATATTTCTGAAGTAATTTTCACTAAATTCATTTTTTCTTTAGGAACTTTCAGTTTAATATCAACTAGTTTTCCCTCATCTAGACGTATTGAACCATCGATATACGAGTTTGAGTTCATAGATACATCCATTTTTAAACCAGATTTTGTAACAGAAGCATCCATCACCATAGTGCCAACAATGCGAATAGCAGCACTTGGAACAATATGACCGACTACATTCATTTTAAAATCTCTAAAATTTTCCACATCAACTTTGCCACCGATTTTCAAACCTACGGTACCGGTTGCATTCAACGAAAGCCTCAATGGGAATCCAATTATCGTAGGAATACTATAGGATGCGTCAAGTACACTAAATGATTTAACAAAATCTATATCCCTTCCTCGGAACAGTTTATATATCATGTCTTGAAATAAATCTTCTGTGTTAGACATATCTTGCAAATTATTGAAATTGAAATAATTTAGTTCGTTGCCAAATATTTTTGCATATATTGCGCCTTTCGGTACTCTTATTTTTTTATATTCACTTTTAGGTATGAAAGCTTCTATTTCATTGGTGTTGCCATCTGCTTTGATAACATTGAATATTTTCGATAGTGTTTCATCCGGATAATAGCCATCAGGGCTAAAAAGTTTTTCAAAAGTATCTTCCAGCCCTTCTGCTCTACCACCAATTTCTAATACATTCATAGTTTCACCAAATATATCAAGAGTCAAATTGACCATAGCAGACCTAGGTATATACGACTCAGGTGAAAAAATAACATTGCTCTCTAGTGCTCCACCAGCATTTAATAATTTCGAAAAAGATGAAAATTCGTAGTTCCTAGAATACTTTCTAAAATTTGTATCAAATTTCTTACGCAAACTTTCACTGGATAAGATGTATTTGATGTCTGTTTTCCAACGAGCCGAAGATTCTTGAATATTAGTCAAATGAGTCCATATAAAGGAACCCACTATAAAATGAAAAAAAAACTCAGTAGTATACTTGTCTATTTAAAATTTACTTTGTTATAATTTAATAACATATAACATTACCTTGGTTTGCCTTTTCAGCTAAAAGTACTCCACGTATCTTATATAAATCCTTGTTGGACAAACAGTTCATTGCAGCCAGATAGGAAGAAATTCTTACTTCAGTTGGTTCCGTTTTATTGGCAAGGGTATCGAGGAAAATTTTGGTTTCTTGCCATTTGCACGAAAATCGTCTATAAGCAGCCAAAGCCTGTACTCTGATTTCTACTGGCAAAGTGCTGGTCTAAACAAATTCTACGTTAATATAATTTATATTTTGAGATATTTATTATTTTAACTGAATAATTAAAAATATTATTAATATTGGAGATTAAAATGCACCTTATAGCAATTTGTCAAAGTTTTTGTGGAAACGGCATGTCCAGCATTTCCCAGCCCTTTTAATGCTAATATTATATCATTCTGTGACTGAAATGTTGATGCTCTGCAACTATCTCCCAAGTATTTCTCAATACTTTCCAATGCAGTTATGATAACATTTTCGTTCATACATTTTGTATTCATTTGGCAATATCTGTATATCATTGAAGATATTGATAGAATAGCATTTTTGTTGGAATGATCAAGCAAGGGCTAAAATATTTATATTTATGTATTTGATAAATGTTTTAAATATGAATTCAATAATATATTATGAGTTTTTAAAATATACGCACAGTAAGCATTTTTAAGGAATATAAAGTTGGATTACTACTGAATGATAAAAATGTTAGCCAAGAATTAAATTGACCTTCACTAAGTACTTCGTTACGTAATAATTCCATCATTGTCGCTACACTTTCATCAGTTTGGATTAGTTGCATGGCGTCTAAAATCATATGTCTGAAATATTATAATGCAACATGATTTCAATAGAAGTGGGATTGCAAATGCTGCTAATGAAACATTTAGATACCTTTCGGGATTTTGAGATTTGCCTATCACGGAAATCATATCAGCTTTATTAAGTGTTTTTAACGCGGTTACTAAGTTTGAAAATAAGGTGGTAGCCCGATCTTCAACACCTGTACTTGTTGCCTCTTTCATTTCTTCTAGTATATTAAAAATTTCCTCATTAGATACTTTAGGCAGTTTACTTATTGTTTCCTCGTAAAGCATTGTGGTTCTTGTTTCAATTGGCGCTGAAAATATACATGAAGCGTGAATTATTATATAAATATGAGCCATAAGCAAAAATAATATTTAATGTGTTTGAAATAAGAAATATATCTATTATTAAGTAAGCCATGATAATAATAAAGATTGGTTCCAAGTACTATCTAAGTTTATCATAATAAAAAACGGATTAAAATATTTGCCACAAAATTTTGTAGAACCGGTAGTATCGCAAATAAAATGCATGCACGCTATAAAACGCCATAACAATGGCGATGAAATATGATCATAAAATTGAATTGTTTGTGACTATTGGGCCAGCGGTGGCGATGTCGCTTAGAACGTGGGCTAGCACCAAATAGTCCCGGGTTCGCTGGTTTGATTCCCGCTACCGCCAAGCCTGACATCAGGCAACTTTAATATCAAATTTCCAGTTGAGATCATAGATGTCAAAAATAGCCTCAAGTAAAAACCACCTCTCGTGAGTATAGTTTCATACATATAATTAAAATGTCAGCAAATACTTCTAGTATAGATCATAGTTCGTGTCATAATTGGATTGGACAATTACTGGGTTGCCATCCATTCAAGATTTATATAATAAGAAAAGTCAAAACAGTTACTGAATGTCCTAAGTATGACAGATTGTAATTAAAATAAAAACAATAAAAAAGAAGGCAATGACTATTTGGAATGTTGAATAATCGTTTCATTACCTCACATTATTGATAATGATTCTGAATAAGACAATTTGTGGCGTTATTTTTAAAATAACGTAATTATTAACACGAGAATTACGGATGTTGGTTATATACCTAATATTTTTACTAACGAGAGCCAATTTGACTCATGCAAGAAAATGTCACTTTTTGAAAAAAATAGTTCCAAGCCAATTTAAATAAAATGTTTATTATCAAATCATTCATAGAAAACATTTTTTCTTTTGGTCAAGTACATTAACGCCATAATTAGTGCTATTATAATTTGGAACAAGTATTCATATTTTTTTTCATTGCAATTTCAATTTCAATTTTTAACTTCCCGTAGGGTAGGTTATAGTAATCGCAAAAAAGTCGAAAATGAAAATTTTCATATATCTTTACGTTTCAGAAGTTTCTGAACATTTTGGCATACCTTAAAAAATTGATGTATGTGTGTGTGTGCATGTGCGGATACAATTTTTCGTCAACGATTCCAAAAACTGAATTTTCGAAATTTAAATGATTCAAAAAACATTCAATTCCGATTAATAAGGAGATGTGCTGATTAGTTTCTGGCAAAGGCAGGTTTAGCCGTTCAAAAGATACGGGTCAAAAAGTGCCAAAAATGTTAATTGAATTTTTGAGAGAACGGAGCGTCCGATTTGAATGATTCAAAAAACATTTTATTTGTATTGACGAAATGAAGAACTGGTGAAACTTGGGGAGGCAGGTCTAGCGGTTTCGGAGATCCAATGAAAAAAGTAAAAAGAATGCCATTTAACGGACAAAAATGATCATTAGACATATGCACATCAAGTTATCACATATTTTATAGATATTTTAATAATAAGAACAAATTTTGATCACTTTTCTATAGGTTCCGTACCAATGTTTATTTGTTATACTGACGCGATCTTTCATTTCTACGCTAACGTATCGCGATTGCTTTAAAAAAATTCAAAACTTCCAAAATATTTCAAAGGTTAAAAAGAAATTCAATGTTTTGAAATTAAATTTTATTCAAAAATTTTAGAAATCTCGAAAATCTATTTTTTCAAAGTTCTAGAAAAATTGAATTTTTTTAAAAAAATTATTTTTTTGTACAGGAAGTTATAATTAGCCTTAAGGGAAGTTAGCAATTTGCCTTAAGGGATGACGCCATGCACCACTAGTTATTGCGTCAAATTGGCTCGGTCCGTAAATCTAGTGTTAAACTAATTACAATGACAATCAATTCAAGTTTAATAACATAATACCGAAATACCATGTATGTCTGGTATCTGTTTTAGTTTCAGTTCTTTCCGTAAAACTAAAGTCTGCTGTACGGTGGTAACGGCTCCCGCTTGTCCGTTACTGAACGGCCGCAGTTTGTGTTTTTCTTGACAAGACGAACTCACCACTCGCTGATTATCAAGGGTTTGAGTACAGTTATGGTGACTCCTATAGCACAAAAATCCATTATACACCTTATCTAGTAATATAATTACATTTTTGATACTTACGATATGACGGGCTTAGAATTTGGACTTGCATAATTGATTGACGGAAGTGAGAAGATCGTCTTCTTTCTAGAAGAACATTGCGTTAAATCTTTGAAACGACGTACTATTAATAATCCGCCATGGATTTCTGTTATGTGAAATCGAGTGAAACAGTCTCCGGATACATCACGCTTAAAAATTAGTACGATATTTAAATTTAATAGTTATGTGGATCTATAGGCCAATTCTGCGGTACCCCAGTCGATAACATAGTGTTTTATGGCAACGCTATGTTATCCTTCCTTCTTGATAATAAAAACTGTGTAAATACTTATTTAATGCTGGCGTATTTTACATATGAACGAACCAAGAAAGAATGTTAAGATAACTTCATCTTTTTGATGCGCATTTATAACATACGGTTTTATGTGTAAAACGCCTGATCGTTCAGCAATTGATAGACATTTTCAATGTTTAAACAACTATGTTATCGGCGGTGTTACCGCAGAATTGGCTCCCCAATTGCTGTTGAAATACAATGATAATTATATTGCAGATAATACTAGATAATTTAAAATTACTTTAATCCTACTGCTTATTATGTAATAATAAAAAACTTTGATTAAATTACTTCTTATTATAATTAAATAAATTTATTCAATATTCATTTTGTAACAATCCAGCATTTTCCTTCAAGATACAATGCCAAATGCCAGTATTTTTGAGACTCGTCCGTGATTTATCGCGTCTACGGCGATCGCCGAATAGAAAAGCTGAAGTATTCTTTGAGAACAGATTATGTGAACTGATTGAAAGTATAAAGCTATCGTTTAATGGAAATAATGTTATTTCATGTTCAGCAATAGTTTTGCTTTTTATAATAAAATATCACATGATAAATTATTATTTAAACGGCCAACCTGCTGACAAAAACTGAAATGTTTAATACATATGTGCCCATAATTATGAAAGTGGTCTAAGTCAAAATTAAAAAAAAAATGAGTTTATCAGTTAATTCATACCACATTAGTTTAAACTAAATGTATTCAATGTAATTTTTACGAAATTGTCAAAAATGAACCATTAGATAGTGGTTGTAATTTCAACATTATATGGAATTCATTTAGTGTTAATTATGAAAGTAGTCTAAGTCAAAAATTTAAAGAAATTATATAAACATCTTGAAAATGGCACGTGGCCTTCTTTGACGCGTTTCTGAACATAGATAAACAAGTATAAATAGATAGCAAACTGGACCGCTTTTCGATTATTAACTTCCCGTAGGGTAAGTTATTGTAATGGGCCGAAAATCGGAATTGAAAATTTTTACATTTCTCGACGTTTTGAAGGTTTCTGAACGTTTTGGCATACCTCAGAAAAAATGGATGTGTGTGTGTGTGTGTATGTATGTATGGATACAAATTTTTCGCCCACGTTTTCGGGCGTACGGATCAACCGATTTGAATGGTTCAAAAAACATTCGATTCCTATTGATAGGGAAAAGAGCTGATTAGTTTTTGGCTTGGTTTCGGAGATACGGAGCAAAGAATGCAGAAAATAGAAATCGAATTTTTGAGAGAACGGAGTATCCGATTTGAATGATCTAAAAAACATTTAATTAGTAATGATTGGGAGAAGTGTTTATCAGTTTTTGGCAAAGGCAGGCCCAGCCATTTTGAAAATACGGAGCTAAATATGTAAAAATGGAAATTTTTGAGAGAACTAAGCGTCCGATTTAAATGATTCAAAGAACTTTCTGCTTGTCTTAACAAAATAATTGATTTTGGAAAAAAAATTTGTTCCATTTTTTTTTTTTTTTTAGTTTTTTGTATATCAAAAATATTTCAGATTTTATTTTTAATTCTGACTATAGTTTTAATATACTTTACAAATAATTTCAACTCTGCAGTTCAGTTTATATAATTCTTATAAATATTAGACAATGTTACAATATTTATAATAATCTATTTGAAAACATTTCGTTACGGTACGGGAAGTTCCAGCAATTTGCCTTAAGGCACGATGCCATAATTGCCTCAAGACAGAATTCCACTTACAGCTAGTTTTAATTTTAATTTTCCGCTCCTGCTACAGAGGCGCGACGAGTGTAGCATGAAAATTTACCCCTAGGTTCAATTCTAGATAAATCCAAATCCTAAGGTTCAATTCTAAGATAAATTTATATATAATATTGTTACTATAAATCATTAGAAGATACAATAACAAGAAGAGTAAAAAATACCGCGGGCAAATCTGTCTCTTGGCTACAAATTCAATGGATGAGATGTTTATAAAATGTATTATAAAACTTCTTTAGATGATTCTACATTTCACGTTTTGGATCTTTCACCTGAAAGATGAAGACCAAAAATATACGGAAATATTAAATTACTTCCATTATACACCAGCATTAGACCAGTATCGGAAGAAAAATATAGATATTATGAGTTTACTACCGTACATCCCTCCAGTTTTTCAGGAACATTTTAAAAATCTTAAATACTCGAAATAATGATAAAAATGGATTACCGTTTAAAAATGCTCACGAATTATTTCAATAAAATTATTGTTTCAAATAAAACTTGAAGTTCTTTATTGATTTAAGTCATTTATAGGACATTCAGTTAATTTTGAAAATGGTCTAAGTCAATTCAAACTTTAAAAACAATATTATCGTATGAAATTCACACAAAATTTCATATTCATAATAAATTTCCATTAATTAAGACTAATAAAATTAAAAATTAAAATGTCGCATAATGTAAAAATATTTTTTAATTTATTCAAATGCAATTCATTAAATATCTTGAAACAAAAAATATATGACTTAGACCACTTTCATAATTATGGGCACATATGATTACGATAAAACGATGTAAATTTGTGTAATCAGTTCATAAATCAGTGCATACAAATTGCAACTATTTTATTCCTTATTTTAAATAATTATTACGGCATTCTGCCGTAAATAAGACCAATGTTATGGCAAGGCTATGTCACGTATCGCTTCTCATACAAAATGGTATGTACTAAATACATTCAAAATGGAATGTATTTGCTGTGCGATCAGGCGTTTTACGAATAAAATGCAACTTCACTCATTTGTTATTATGCCACATTACAAAGATGCGGTTATGATAAAGTGCATTTGATGTTTATGCGTTTTCTACATTAGGCTTTCTATCTGAAACGCCTGACTGTATTCAGTATCATTTTGTATGAGAAGCGCTACGTAACATCGCCTTTCCATAACATTGGTCTATTTAAGGCAGAATCCGCCCCTAAATTTATTAATTAAAAAATCCATTAAAAATTATTTTTCTAACTTTTAAATTTTTAATTCATTCATTATTTTTAAATTCAAAAGTTTTCAATTGATATTAGTTAAGAATCGTGCTGATTAGTTTTGGTAAAGATAGGCCGAGCTTTACGACTTCATTAAATACAAATCTTAAATAGAGTAAAGATCTTTACCTCATGTGCAACATGACTCTGCCTCATGTCTCCTTTGCCTGTCTGAAGGGCCGACAGAACGCCCCTTTTAAAGTTGACTATCCAGGGCGATTCTGCGTCACCCTCCGTAGGACACAAAGCCTCCACCGCGCCTCGATGCATCGAAAAGGCAAGTGGGTTCTCCGAGAGCGCTGCCCCTACGCTTTCTGACAATTCTGGGTCTACGGAACCGCCTGGACTTGAAAATACCACATCTGATAGCTGTTGGGAAGGAAAGGCAGAACGATGAGCGCGAGTTATATTATTATGTACGGATAATAAAATGACAACAACTTTAGATATTTCATTACACAAGTACTCTCAGTTTTAATGCACAACATGCAAATACAAAACATTTTTTGTATATAAAGTTAGAACTCAAACACTTTCTGCGAAGTTGTATTCAGCGTAGCGTAGAGTATTAGGCACAATAATACCTTGCCAATAGAGTTTTTGCAGTTTTGTACCTTTTGGTTAACATTTGAAAAATTGTCCATATAAATCAATTCTTATGTAAACTGATGTTTTTAGCGCAACCGAAATGTACGAAATCATCGTAAACTGTTGAAATTTTCGATTTGCTTGTTTTACTCCAGCGATTATTTATTAAATTATTTATTTACTATTGAGCATATGTTATTTTCTCAAAAATTGAAAAATAAATAGTCATGACAAGTTCAATCACCCCTCAATTCAATTCAATCACCCTTCAATTAAAAAAAATTTGTCACTCCTCCATCAACTACATCAATACAAATAACACATATCAAACAAACAACTATCTACTTATTGGGTGTTTGGAAAGTCACTTCGTTTTTTTAGACCTTTTGCCAAACGATTTTTGTATAACATACAAATACTTCATTAAATTATACATTGACTATTAATGTTGAATATCTTTCGTAATATTTCTGGGAGTAGCAAAATTCGGGGATCATAAATTTTTTGTTGATTATTGGCAAAAAATTAAATCAAAGTGCTTTTTGACCTCCTCATTTGAAGTAAATGTTTCACCGCCTAAGAATTCTTCTAGCGACCGGAACAAATAATAGTCCAATGACGCCAGGTCTGGATAATATGATGTGTGTAGTACCATTGTGTGTGTAGCATTCAAGCTGTAAGACCTTTTGGCGATTGACCAAACTTGTGTAAGGTCGCACGTCGTCTTGATGCAATACTACACCTTTTATGTAGAATCATTTAGTTTATTCAGCTTATAACAGTAGGCATTTGAATTAACCGTTATGTTATCCAGAAAAGCTGGAAAAACAATTTCTTCACAATCTCACCAAAAATACAGTATCCCCTTTTCTGGCGAATATCGTCTTTGAAACTGTTTTGAGACTTCTTCATTGTTTCATAAGAAATTCCACATAATGTATTGTATACAACCCAGGTGAAAACTTGCTTTAAAAACTGATCATTTTCATGACGTTTCAGAGGCGAATCCCAGACATCAATGCAGAGATACACGATACTTTCTACTTCGAGGAAATTCCCAGACCTTTAAATTGGCCATTAACTATTGAATTTGATAAATCTCTAAACTCAGTGCGACATCACATGTTGTTATTTGCCAGTTTGCATTAGTGCATTTTCGATATCATTACACTCGGAACAAAATTTAACAAACCAGTTCTATCAACACGTCTTTACCATAAATATCGGTCAATCTCATTTTGGCTTAAACATCATTTTTACCTTTTCTATAGCAAAAGAGTAAATTAAGTCTAAAATGTTGCTTATTTCTTACCTTATTCAAACTGGCACTTTTCAAAAACTACTACGTAATTAATTAAAATTTTTGACACACAAACCTTAATATAGAGTAGAGCGGGTCTGCTGGAAAAAAGGTCCACCACCAATGTCTCAAAAACAACTAAAGTTAGGAACTTTTTATCAATATTTGAAAGTTGAGGAAAAAAGATGTGTAGCCATCACCTTGATTATTACGACGTTGCTACCAACGTTTGAAAATCTATAACAATAAAATCGTTGTTTGTATTTTTTGTTTTGCGCACTCTTGTTTAGTTTACGAGATCTTAATATAACTTTTAGGTATACATTATTTAATTGTTTTATAAGATGTTATTTTTAAGTTAGATACATCAGTTTTTTTATATAACCTCTATAAAAGTTTACATATGGGAGGGATAAAAATGACCAACTGAAACTTCACCCTAGAAAAGGTGTAAGCAATATGAAAATAGTAAATAAAACAGTAAATTAAGTTAAAAAAGCGATTTTATAAGAAATAAATTGAATAAATAGTTTTTCCAGTTTTGGTGATAAATACTTCTGATAAAATACCAAATCAAAGTTATATGCGGTGTAATTTTTGTAAAAAATATGCTCATGAATTTTTTTTTTGCATTTGCTAAAAAATCAAGCCATTATTTCGTAAAATTCCTGCTGTTTGAAATATATGTTTTATTAGCACATTTTCTATAAAAATTGCACTGAACACTCCAGTGTCCACTTCTATTTGGAAATTTGTCAGAAGAATTCATTATCAGAGTTGGAAAAAGAAGTAATATAATTTATCTCTGTGAAACTGCCTTTTTAACTTAATTTACTTTTTACATTTTGTTTACACCTTTGTCAGTGTAAACTCTCAGTTGCTCCTTTTCACCATAACTACAAGTTAGCTTTTATAAAGGTTATATAAAGAAAACTGTTGAATCTAACATAAAAATAACAATACATATTATTAAACAATTAAATACCGTATACTTTAAAATCATATACAAGTATCGTAAACTAAACAACGGTATTTGAAACCGAAAACACTAACATCAAAGGAAAATATTTTCGTTAAAAAATTAATAATGTGGACTTTTCGCTCGTGATAGCGGCATCGTTTGGATTTAGGGCAACGAATGGATACACATCTTGTGTCACCTACTTTAAAACAGTAAAGTTGAAAAATTCTATACTTCACTTGTTTTTTGAGATAATGGTGATTGGAGGACCTTTTCACCGGCAGACTTTTAAGCTCCGCTCTGCTATATTTTATAAGCCATTAATGAATTGTTTGAACGTGTTTTGAATTTAGAATGCATATAATAAACTAAATAAATTTAGTTGTATTTTGAGTCGTAGAGTAAATTTACCTGCAGAATGTATTCGCATGGTGCCGCGACATGTATGGTAGCTACGGCCGTGATGCGGAGCCGGCTGATTTCGTTGTTCCCTTCGATTCCGTTTATGAATGTGTCCGACTCCGCCGTGTAGCTGTACACGTAGCTCGACCCCGGACTGTAAATGTTAGTCCTCTCATTTTCTGAAAATTTAATTTAAACACTCAGTAATATTATTTTACAAAAAAATCGAGTATCACTCTAAATATAGGTAGAGCAGCTAGATGCTTGATGTAACACTTTTTATTTTTAAATTAATATATCTTAAAATCCACTGATTATTTTTTCACAAAATAAAGAGATGGCTGGTTGCAGTAACTATTTCTCTATCGAATCAAGTAAAACTTAAAGCAAATTTCTGGAACTTCTCGTACCGTAATTAAGCATTCGAGGCATGAAAATAATCAATAATTGTTTTTAATAATTTCAAATAGATTATTTATTATAAATACATACTGTAAATTTATAAGAGCTTATTAAATCGGACGACGAGCGTATTTTATAATCAACTTATGTGTAAGTTTACAAGAGTTTGAATATTTTTTAAATTTGATTTTTTTGATGATTTTAAGTTTTTTTCATTATTTTGAAGAAAATTTAAAATTTCGAAATTTTTTGGAATTATTGGAAAAATATATTTTTTTAAGTTTTTTGAGAATTCGGAAATTTTTGAAAATACTCGATTTTTTTGAAAGTTTCGAAATATTCTCAAATTTTTGTAAGAAATCCATTTTTTTAATTTTAATATTTTTTTTAATTTTTCAAAATTTTGCTTTATTTTTAAAATGATGAAAAAATTTAAAAATTTGAATTCGAATAATTTCGAATTTGAGTTTGAATTTGAAGCATCACTAGTTATATATTTTTACATGTGTACAAAATTATATCAATACTCGTAAGTTATTCACCAATTTTAATAAACAAATATTTCAAATCTTTGACTATATGATACTCAAACGCCTTCCAAAGTGATGGCTTGTTATACATATTTTTACCTACTATCAAATATTGTTAGAATTTTTTTCTAACTTGTCTTTGAGATATCGGTGGTGAACCTTTTTATTCGCGGATCTTTAAACCCCTACCCTATATATAAATAAATTGGTGTGTGTAAATCACTTATAGCCGTAAATAATTATAATAAATAAATTCAAAGATTATATTTTATAAAGATTATAAAATGGAAATTTTTTCTTACCTTTGCAATATGCAGCGCATTTGTGAATTTTCTGCGTTGGAACTGAAATAGAAAACAAACAAGTTGACAAAAGTTAAATATTAACGATATATCGATTTTATAATTGAAATGTCGTTTACTGATATAATATTCTTAGTATGTATCAGTTTGCAATAATGCCACAGAGTATCAAATAAAATTTAATAAACAAATAAAATTAAAGTGCGGAATCAACATTTTTAATTTTTCTCAGAATTGAATTGAATATAAAAATAAGTCAAATTAAAAATTTATCCATAATCGCTAAAATGTACATATTATGCTTTACGAAAATATGAACGTATATGTATATGTAAATGTATATTATATATATATATATATATATATATATATATATATTTCAAAGTAACTAGCAGCCCATTCGTCGAAATAAAAAAGGTATAAAGTATAAAAACTTTTATTTATACGTTTCGACACAAGATGCGTGTCATCATTCAGCAACTACAACAATTTGAAAATTTTATTAACTAATATAAACAACAATAAAAATTAATTATAGCATAGAGAAACATTATACACACCACAGGACAAAAACACTCAACAAAAATTTATTTTAAAAAATTAAACTTAATAACATATTAGAGAGAAAAAAAAAAAAAAAAAAAACAACAATTTGTTTTTTTCTCTAATATGTTATTAAGTTTAATTTTTTAAAATAAATTTTTGTTGAGTGTTTTTGTCCTGTGGTGTGTATAATGTTTCTCTATGCTATAATTAATTTTTATTGTTGTTTATATTAGTTAATAAAATTTTCAAATTGTTGTAGTTGCTGAATGATGACACGCATCTTGTGTCGAAACGTATAAATAAAAGTTTTTATACTTTATACCTTTTTTATTTCGACGAATGGGCTGCTAGTTACTTTGAAATATGTTTCAACGTCGAAAAAACTATCAAGATATATATATATATATATATATATATATATATATATATAGATATAAAGAATGGGTAGTACTGCCCTAGGGCAGGTCCGTGAGCTGAGTTAAACTCCAACTCGATTATTGCTCGGAAGAAGTAGTGTGAGAGTTTTTCCCATTTCCATTTCACACCGCAGTACCCGAGATGGGCTAAATATATATATATATATATATATATATATATATATACATATATATTGTATGATTCTGAATTCGATGTTGACATATGTATTAACAAAGTCTAATAATCGGGCGTAACATCAATTAAAAACATGAATTTTTTTTAAAAATTTATTTTAAATCCATACGTTTCATTTTAACACACATTTTAAATCCTAGCCTTCATTCAGTGGAAACTAAAAATAAAATTAAAAACTAAAACAATTGAATTGAAGAGAAAAGAAAAAATAAAATAGTAAATAGTACTTACAATTAGTTGATCTTAGTGTTAAATTGGAAAATTTTAATAATCCATGGTATCAGGATATGGTAATGCACTACACTATGTATTATAAACACTAACTTGAAATTACACAATATTTTCACGAAATACTAATTTTAAAAAATCACAAATGGATAGTGTGTTATTCGTAGACTGGTTAAAGATGTAATGGAAAAAGACCTTTTTAAAAAATATTTTTACCAAGATTCTACACATGTGTAGAACGAATTGCGAATCCTTTGCGCAACGCTTTTATTGTTTAGTAAGAAATTTGGAAATGTTATCTAAATAGAAGAGATTTGTGTCGCACAGCGTGTTAAGTTCATTCCGTTTATTTATTGTCTTATTGTTATAAATAGTTAAGAAAGATCACTCTATAATTCTTCGTTTAAATAAATTTTATTCGAATTGTAGTACAGTCGGATTAGAAAAGTCCATATTGTGTTTTAAGGTATAAATATGGTCTGCAAGTACAGTTTTGAATTGTTTTGGGTTTTTTGAATTGTTTTTATGTTGTTGTAACCGTTTATTCAAGTTCTGGCTAGTTTCACCTATGTAAATTAAATTAGAATCTAAACAATTTATTTGATAGACGAGATTTCTGAGTCGTTCGATATTAAAAGGGGTTTTTGTTTTGGTAAAAATAGTGCTAGTAGTTGTACTAAAATTGGTTACCAGTCGGAGTCCAGATTTATAAAAAGTTTTTTTCCAAGGAACATACAATTCTTTAATGTATGGCAAACATATTACACCAGAATGAGTTTCTGAGTCAGGTAAATTGTTATGTACTGTGGAATTGTCCATTTTATTCAAAAGGTACGTTCGTCTGTTACTAGTTACGGAATTTATAAGTTTTAGGGGATAGGAGTTATCTGTTAGAATTTTTGTAATTAAATTGATGTTATTGTCCCAAAATGTTTTGTCCGATAGAAGTATTGCGTGGTCAGTTAGATTTATTATAGTACCTATTTTCATTTTGAGTGGATGATAAGAAAAGTAATTAAGGTAACGTCCAGAGTTAGTTGGTTTTTGGTACCAATTTGTTATTAGTTTGTTTTCCGTAGTACGTATAAGTTTTATGTCTAAAAAACTTATCGAGTTCATTGTCTCCAATTCTACTGTAAATTTTAATTTTTTATTGACGTTATTAAATTGATCAATTATCATAGTGACATCATCACTAGGGATACAAGTGATAATGTCATCTACATAACGGTAATGAAAAATATGTTTATTGTAATTTTTAAAAATTATATTTTCAAGAAGTTGTAAAGATATTTCTGCTAGAGATGGACTTGCTGGGGACCCCATTGGCGCCCCAAAAATTTGATAATAGAAAGAGCCATTGAATTCAAAATAAGTGTTAGAGACAATGAACTTGACAGTTTCCCTGAACCAGTGCAAAGATAAAGAAGTCAACGAGGAAATTTCATCCCATCGGATTGTTATAGCATCTAAAATATGGTCTAGAGGTACATTAGTGAAAAGTGAGACTACATCTAAGCTAATTAGTTTGTATATAATTTATCTTGTGTTTTAAGTCAGTAACGAGTTCATAAGAATTTTTTATGTAGTGTGGTGATTGTTTTGTTATTGTAGTTATGTATTTCGAGAGTTTATATTGAGGGGTATTAATGTCTGAAACTATTGGTCTAAAAGGTAAATTATTTTTGTGGATTTTGGGAAGGCCATAAAGTCTGGAGAAATATGGGTGTAAATTTTTCAAGTCAGAAGTTATCTCTTTGGTCAGTTGTTTGTTTGCTGTAAGTTTGTCTAAATATTTATGGCACGTACGGTTTATGTAGTCAGTTGGATCGTTATTGGTAATTTTGTAAGTATTAGTGTCAAGTAATAATTCAGATATTTTATTTATATAGTCTTGCTTGTCTATGATAACGGTGATATTGCCTTTATCCGCTTTAGTGACCACTATATTCGGATGATTTTTGAGAAATATTTTGCAAGCTTTAAGGTCTCTAAGAATATTATCATAAGTTGTATTTTTGGTATCAAAGGAATTAATATGTGAGATGAATTTTTTACAAAAAAGATTTCTAGTGTGAATTTTAGTTTTCGGATCTTTAATTTGTTGCAAACCATATTCTAAATTACTGAGCAATTTAACAAAGTTAAAATTACGGCAAGTAGCAGGAACTGAAAAATTAGGTCCTAAAGCAAACATGTACAATAGTCTGTCTGGTATGTCGATAGAAGAATAATTTTTTAACCACTTATCAATAATATTTTTATCTAAAATTATTTTGTTACTTTCTAATTTATTTTGTAAAAGCTTACTAAATTTGTTAGTATACGAAAGCTTCAAATTATTGAACTGTTTGTTGTTTCTAATTGTTTCGAAATATAAAAAGTTTTCAAAGACATCGATTTCCACTGTGCGACACAGCCAATTTGTGATTTTTTCAATCGTATTTCTAAAATTACAAATATTTTTGATACATCTGTTAATTGTGAGTGTAATGTATTTTAAACTAACTTTTTGTAAACTATTGTATTGGGTATTATTACTAATGAATTTGAATTTTTTAATGTCTATTTCGTAAAACTTAGGAACATTTTTTTCTTCGCGACATCTTAATAAAAACACTTGTTTGTTGAAATTTATGATAAGTTTAGAATTGAGCTTAGATATTTTTTTAAATTGTGAAAAAATGTAGAACCCGTAATTGCGCCTAATAAATTCAAAAAATGACATGTTGTGATCTTCAAAATGATTTTGCTTTCCTTGTAATCTCCAATTATTGTGCTGTAGATTGACCATTTTCCTATTATAATGACGTAGTGGTTTCATGGATAATGATTGTGTAGTTGAATTTTTAGTATTGTATTTTGTAAAATATATTTATATAATAAATATATATATATATATATATATATATATATATATATTTGAATAGTCTTGAATTTGATGTTGATATATATGTTTAATTTGAGTTTAAATTCGGGCGTAATAAGAGTTTTTTTAAAAGTTTATTTATTTAAAATCCATACGTTTCGGCTAGCATCTTAGCCATCATTCAGTGGTAATCAAATTAAAATTTTGTATCCTAATATAGCATATGAAACCATTATTAATCCATGGTATTAGTATGTGCACATTGATAAGATATATATTTTTTAACATCACATATGGCAAAACACACTAATAATCATGATAACTTAACAAGTTGTTGAAACTATGTATTTGCTCTTCGGAGTTTAAGATAGAAATGTATAAATAATATATATGTATATATATATAATATATAATATATATATATATATATATATATATACACCTAAGTCTGTTTTTACACGGAGATTGGTTCCAGAAAAAACCGTGTACAAAAAAAAACGTGTAAAAAAAGACATTGATCTTATACAAAAATGGGTGATTTGTTCCTAATCTCCAAAACCTATTAAAATTAGTGAAAAACAAGAATTTTTAGGGTATTCCCCTAAATTAGTGCTATTCACATTTGCCTTGACCAGTAAAAATTGTTTGTACGCGCTAAAGGGGAATTCACTTAAATCTTTAAGCTAGTGTTCGCAAACTATCGATACTATCGATGGTTTCAGACTTTTTTCTTTCATAAATACTTTTTTGTGATATGAACATACTTCGCAAAAATTAAATTT